TTTCTTTGCTTTTTGGTACTCCAGCATGCGTGGCTTCAGCTTTTTAAAAATGGTGGACACGCTGGGTGTGGTGGCACGCACGCTGTAATCCCAGCACTGGGGAAGCTGAAGCAGGAGGATCGCCTTGAGTTCAAGGTCAGCTTGGGCTGCATGAACAAGTTCAAGACCAGCCTGTACTACATAGCAAGACCAAGGGGATAGAGTTCAGCGGCACAGCACTTGCCTGGCAAGCGCAAGGTCCTGAGTTCAATTCTAGATGCTCAAAAATAAATAAATAAAAACGGCTGACGATGCAGCTCAACATGAAGGCCCTGGGTTCAATCCCAGGTACCACTAAATAACACGTCCTCATCCCATGCTCAGTAGTGCAGCGTAGCTAAGGGGAATAAGGTTGGTTTTCTCTGTGTGTCTAGTCTGTTTTGCAGGCGGCCTTCCTGCTTGCCTCCAGGAAGTGGATCTAGAATTCCTTGGGTAACTCAGCGCATTAGCCAGGGCCTTGGATTTATGAGTCTTTGCTTTGTGCTTTAAAGAAAAAAAAATTCTATCTGTTTCGAATGGTAATTCTGAGAATGATTGTAAACGCTCAGGGAAGAGGAGGGGAGAGGCCCACGTGAGCACAAGTTGTGACAAGTTAAAGATACTGCGAATTCCCTGGTTTCCCAGTAATAACACGAGAATGTAGTTATTTTAATTGAGTTACCAAATATAGCTTCACCTCCCTAAATTGCAAGACTACACTGTGTTCATTTGGGGGGGCATTCAGGAGAGCTTGCTACTCCCCTTTCCACCGTGGAGCTGGAGTCTGGGTGTGGGTATGACCTGACACTATTCTCAGAGTAATTTCCTAATGTTTCTGCTAAAATTTTTGGTACATTCTTGGGTTGGGGATATAGATCAACGACAGAGCACCTGCTTAGCATGCACAAGGCCCTGGGTTCTTACCCAACACTACCAAAAAAAAAGGATTTAAAATGGTTCTTCCGGTGCACACCTGTAGTCCTAGCATTCCAGAGGCAGGAGGATCGTTGCAAGTTCCAGGCCCGCCTGGGCTACATAAGTGAGCTCAAGGCCGGCCTGAACTGCACAGCAAGACCCTGTCTCAAAAAGACACACACACACACACACACACACGACTCTCTTTTTTTTTTTTTTCATTTTTTGAAACAGGTCTGGATATGTAGTCCACACTGGCCTTGAATTCACATCATCCTGCCTCAGCCTCTCTAGCGCTGTTATTACAGCTGTGCACCATCACACTTGGCTAAAAGGAGATTTTCTTACGAATTCTTCCTGCCTTCCGTGGTTACTTTCCATACCACCTAGCTCACTTCTATTTCCAAAGGATGAGGGAAAAATGAAAATTCCTCAAAATCATACTGTTTTTAACTTTTAATACCTTAAATACTGGATGAATGTATGTGTGCAGATAATCAAAGTCAATAGTTTCTTAACTGTGTTGCCAGCTTTTTCTGTGGAGCAGAATAGAACCAGCCATATACAGGGAAGTATAGGGCTGGGGATATAGCTAGCAGCACAAGCGCCTGCCTGGCAAGCACCAGGTCCTGAGTTTGATTCCTGGTACCAAAAAAAAAAAAAAACACAAACCCAGAGAAGTGAATTTCTTCGGTTCTGCTTTATTCTGCTAGGATATAAAAAATAGCAAATATGGATTAAATGTTTTTACATACAGCATCTTGTTTACATACATATATTTTTTTTTTTGTTTTGTCTTTTTGAGACAGAGTCTCGCTATGCAGTTCAGGCTGGCCTTGAGCTCACTTTGTAGCCCAGGCTGGCCTCAAACGCACAACGATCCTTCTGCCTCAACCTCCCAAGTGCTGGGATTAACAGGTATGCACCACCACACCTGGCTGTATAATGTTAAAGAACACCTCAAACTGGGCATAGTGGTGGTGCACACCTATAAACCCAGCATTCTGGGAGGCTGAGGCAGGAGAATTGCAAGTTTGAGCTCATCCTGGGCAACTTATCAACTTAGTGAGACTCTATCTCAAAATAAAAACATATTAAAAAAAAAAATGGGCATGGTGGTGTATGCCTGTAATCCCAGCACTCGGGAGACTGAGGCAGGAGGATCATTGCAAGTTCAAGACCATTCTGGGCTACAAGTGAGCTCAAGGCCAGCCTGAACTGCATAGTGAGACCCTGTCTCAAAAAGACAAAAAAAAAAAATACAGGCTTCAGACTCCTCCTGCCTTTCCCTCCTGCAGCTGGAAAAGGCAGACTCTTCTACATGGCCATTGGTGTGGCCAGGGGTGAAAGACTGACCCTCTTGGAGACAGGAGCCTACAACCTGCACCAAGCTGCCCGCTGAGAAAGAGAAAGCAGCCCAGTGTGGGTGCTGCAGCTTGGGTTCCTCTTCTGGCGGTCCCTGTCAGTCACAGTGTGTGCAGTAGGGACTTTATGTGGCTGTCCTGTTTCAACAAAGGCAAAGACGACAATTTCCACCTTGAAATTCACACCATCCTGGACACAGGGGCATTTGGACAATTAAATGGTTTGAATCCAGGGTGCTCTACCACCAAACTACACCCCAATCCTTACTGTTTGGAACAGGATCTTCCTGAATTTCCCCAGGGGGGAGTGCGTGTTGGCTCACGTCTGTAATACCAACACTCAGGAGGCTGAGGCAAGAGGGTCTCTGCTAATTCAAGGCAGAGGTGCATAGCAAAACCCTGTCTCAAAAAAAAAAAAACAGTAAATGAGTAAATTGCCCAAATTGGCCTAGAGTCTGCCGCCCCGCTGCCCCAGGCTCTGGAGTACCTGGCATGCAGACCTGTGCCACAGCGGCCCTTTACCATTATTCAGAGTTGGTTATACGCCAACTCCGGTTTGATCACTTTTCTCAGTGTAGCTTTTACACTGAAGGCCACCTGATGTAGGGATAAACAATGTCAAGGAGAAAGAGGAAGTCCAAGATGCTTTCCCCTCTGTGTTCTGTCTGCTGGTTTGTTTATTTATTTATTTATTTATTTATTTATTTGTTTTTATTTTTTATTTTTTTGGTCTTTTTGAGACAAGGTCTCACTATGCAGTTCAGGCTGGCCTTGAGCTCACTTTGTAACCCAGGCTGGCCTCAAACTCACAACGATCCTCCTGCCTCAGCCTTCTGAGTGCTGGGATTATAGGCGTGCACCACCACACCCAGCATATGAATTTTTAAAAATATAGGAAGGAGCCTGGCATGATGGTGCATGTCTATAATCCCAGCACTCTGGGAGGCTGAAGCAGGAAGATCACAAATTCAAGCCCAAACTGGGCAACTAGCAACTTAACAAAACCCTGCCTTAAAATAAAAAAGATAAAAAAAAGAGCTGGGGATGTAGCTCAAGGCAAAGGCCCTGGATTCAATCTCAGTTTTGCGGGAAAAAGTCTTAGTTACCTCTAGTCCTGTTTGCCTAAAGTCAGAATTCAAATCCGAAATTAAAATGCCAAGTGTGGTGGCTCAGGCCTGTAAGCCCGGCACTTGGGAGGCCGAGACAGGATTGTGCTATTAGTGTGAGACCAGCCTGGGCCATATAACAAGACCCTACCTTGAAAAAGAAACAAAAATACCCACATTAAGTGA